TCGAACCCGCCACCTTAGGTGTACGTGGCTGGCGCCCCAGCCGGCTGAGCTATAGGCGCCGAGCCTCAAGACCTCTTTCTAAAAGGCCCAGAGAAAACCAGAACTAATCTTTTATGCACAGTGGCTTAACAAACGTCGCAATCCTCTGAGTGCTGGGATTTTTCAGTAGTTGGTTTTTTCAAGCAGCAACGCGCGGTACATTAACGCCTACGAAGACCTTCTAAGCCTTAGAAGGGATTTTACACTAACCAAAGGGAAATGGAGGTGGTCAATTAAAGGAAAGAATAAACACCGATCCTCAGGCGTGTTTGACTGAGGCAGCCGCCGGGAATGGCCACATGAAGAAATCGGCAGCTCAGAGCTTTATTACTGAAGCATAACCGTTAGTGAGCAGTTCAATTCCGCGCCCGTTCAATAACAATCGCTTTGGAGGCGAAAAGAGGCGAGGAGGACGTGGAAGCTCCTCCAAGAAGCGAAGCGAGGCAACAGGGAGATGCGCGCCCCTGCGCGCTCTATACCTTGTGGGCGTAAGAACCCATGCCGCGAGCTGTGTGGACCGTCGAGAAGTCGATGACCCCTCCTAGATCTGCGGTCCCGGGCCGGCTTTGCCTGTAGAAGCGAAAAAGTTTCCGAAAGGCGTCCTCCCCAGGCTCCGTTGCCAGCGTCGCCGCAGAGGCCACGGCCGCCGCCATCTTCCCCATCTCGCTGCCCGGCCGCTCTGACCCGGAAGCAGCGTTCCTTGCTCCGGATCCGCTTTCTTCTTCCGGGGTCGCAACCCCAGTGCGGAGAGGACGTTCAGTCTAAAGATGGCGGCCTCGGCAGCGAGGAGTGTTGCAGCCCTGCGTACGAGTATTAATCGGCCTCTTGCTTTTGTCAGAAAAATTCCTTGGACTGCTGGATCGAGTGAGTGATGGAGTTGTGTGGGAGGAGCAGAATTTTTAGGTCCAAGCGATTTTCAGAACATGACTTCTGTCCAGTATTTCAGTCAGCGTGGTGGCTGGGTGAGGAGATTTGAGTTTGCTCTTTAGCAAGCCGGTTAGCAGAAGGAAATTTTCTTTGCAGTTAACCGTTTAGGTATGCCCCCTGAGCTTTTGGGGCACGAATTCACGGTCCGCTGCCTTTCGGAGTGGTTTGGTGGAAAGGCTTATTATTTATTTAAAGGTTTAAGATTTAGAAGTGATTATTTTGACTGCAGTGTGGTGGGTCCATTCAAGATGGCAAGATTGAAGGCGTGGAGAAAAGCTAAAAGGCAATTTTAGGAATGTGATTTAAAGGACAGTAGTGAAGGAGTGTGTGTGTGTAAGATCTATTTAGGTTATCAAATAAAAATACACGACGTTTCATGATGGCTTGAATAGGGGGAAGTAAACTGAATGAGGGAAAGAGGGATGATTTCCCGGTTTTTAGTGTTGATAAGAATTTAGGAGGAGCAGGCAGAAAAAAGATGAAGAGTTGTCAGACAGCTTGGGTTAGAATTCCAACTCGGCCATTTAATAGTTGTATAACCTAAACGACTTAAAAAGGGAAAAGGGTTCACCATTTTCCCTCAGTTTAATCGTTTTTAAAATGCAGTCAATAATACCTACCTCATAGGATTGTCAAGAGCATAGGATTGTCAAGAGCATGACTTTATATGTAAACTTCTTAGACATATGCTAGGTATAGAGTAAGTTCTTAACAAATGATAGTTATTTCCACATAACCAAAATTGAATCCTTTTTTTTTTTT